GATTTTTTTTCATGTTACAAAGATGTCTGTGTAACTGCTAGGGTTTTTCTTGAAAGAAAATATTTAAGATACTATAGGTGGTAAAACCAGCTGAGTTAGCCTGTGAATTAATTGAAGCAGCACTTTGTTGATGAAGGAAGCAGAGTCCCTGTATTGTGATAAAAAATAGGCCAAGAGCCTCACTGTACAATATTGGTGCCTAGCCTGTCCTTCTCCTGAAGGTTATCTTCATGTTAATGAAATGTCAACTTGCACAGGATGCAGCAGAGCTGTCCACCTGCACACGGGGAGTCGTGGTAGCCTTGTTTAGGACATGGAAGAGGTGAGTGGCCTGGTGGCTTCATTTGTATGTTCTCAAGAGTAAGCAGAGGTGTATGTGCATGACTGGGACCACAGATTCAGGTTATATTCACATAACACCCTAGAGGTAGAAGATTGAGAATTAGGGCCCATGGTTACAGTGTGGGTGGTGTTTGTCTGTTTAGTTCTATAAAGCAATCAAATAAACTGGGATAAATTTGATTTGCTAATACATAAGTAAGTAAAGTCCTGGAGAAAGAAATCTGACATGTTTTCCTAGCATGAAATTCAAAGCCAGAGTCAGATACTAAGAATGCACATACTGTTTTCCAGTTCTCATAACAGCACTTGTAAGTAACACAGCCTGTATTTGATCCTTAAATTTGACAGAATAATACTTAATCCATCATATCTTTTAATCTTATCTGGCAATAAGCATAACTTTTATAAACAAGTGGCCTATGCACGTATCAAGAAATGTGGCACTGTCATTCAGAAGGAATGAATGCTTGTGTTCAAGACCAGGCTGGATAAGGCCTTGAGCAACCTGGTCTGGTGGGAGGTGTCCCTGCCCATGTGCAAGGGGTTGGGGCTAGATGATCCGTAAGGTCCATTCCAACCCTTAAAATTCTATGATTCTGTGAAATGTGGGTAACTCTTGTGTAATAGGCAAACACTCCATGCAAAGCAGTCTGTCTTTCTGGAACTGGATGCATTTTGATGGTGTATTTTTTGGGATGCCAGTTACTACAGCGTGAGCTGTGAGAGCAGAATCTTTGCACCCTCTGCCAGAATCAGTCAGGAGCTGTGACACACTTGTGGGGATGTGTCTCCATCCACAAGAGAACAGCAAAATGAAATCATGTGTTCTCTATTGAACTAGCAATCTTCATAAGATAGAACTGCAATCCCAGTTTGTCCCCCTTTTGCCTAAATGTAATGGTTCACACCACTTTGCCGTTTGTAGAGAACTGCAAGAGAAAACGTATTCTTGCGTAGTTTGTGCTGAGAAAATAACTTCTTAGTCATGTAACTTCTGCTATACCTTTAGCAAGAGTAACTATTGTTATTTCCTAACTATTAGAAGTGCACTATTTCTCTTTCTCTTTCTTATATTGTACTACTGCTGTAGCCAGTCAAGTTAGTGTATCCTCCCATTCACTGCACATGGTGCATTTACAGCTGCCTCAGAGTGTTCAAGACAGTTATATTCCTGTTGAAATAATATTAAGCTATATCTGATGATTATCATGGTTTTTGCTCAGCCCTCTCGGTAAATGCCTGCCCTGAGCTGTAGTGAAATCTGTCAGCAACTCTTGCTTGAAATTGGATATTTTAGAAGAGTGTTCAAGTTGTCACAGATACATAGTAATTCTGTCATGAAAACAATATAAACAGTGTTAAGAACATCAGGCTTAGAAACCTAAAATCGGCCAGGTTGGAAGGGACCTCCAAGATCATCAAGTCCAACCCTACCATGGTGACTAGACCATGGCACTAAGTGCCACATCCAGTCTCATCTTGAAAACCTCCAGGGATGGTGAATCCATCCCCTCCCTGGGCAGCACATTCCAATGCCTGATCACTCTCTCTGTAAAAAATCTCTTCCTAATATCCAACCTAACCCTCCCCTGGCAGAGCTTGAGTCTGTGCCCTCTTGTCCTGCTGCTGGTTGCCTGGGAGAAGAGACCAACCCCCACCTGACTCCGACCTCCTGTCAGGGAGCTGTAGAGGGTGATAAGGTCTCCCCTGAGCCTCCTCTTCTCCAGGCTGAACACCCCCAGCTCCCTCAGCCTCTGCTCATGGCACTTGTGCTCGAGTCCCTTTACCAGCCTCGTTGCTCTTCTCTGGACCTGCTCCAGCACCTCAATGCCCTTCTTGAACTGAGGGGCCCAGAACTGAAGGCACAGTGTTGCTTTTGGCTTTACTGGAGTTGCCTTTAGTCTCTTCTTTACCTTCCCTGAAGAAAATCCCTATCTTTTTTTTACATTGTCTTCCCTCATTGTGCTTTGCTTAATATCCTCTATAACCTGTATCTTAGCAGTTTATACTTACAGGTTTTGGCCTCTGTGATGAATCTTTCTTGACTAGACTGTCAAGAAAGACTGTTCTGTTCCTCTTAGCCATTTTTATGCCTGCTATTCTATTCACCATCCTGGAGTCTTCCTTTGCAAGTTATTTATCTTTGTAGAGTTTTTTTTAAAAATCTTTTTATCACATGTTTAACTTTAAAGCCTTCTCTGCATTCAGACCTCCATGCTTGTATGTATGTTCCTCTTCCTTGACTAGCTTTTTAATGAGATTTTGACATTTTGAAAGTCCTAAATCTTGGTTGTACATATGCTTGCTTATCCCTCCACTGAATTTGATCACATATCCCAGTATTATTTTTATAATTGGCTCTTCTATACTGTTCTCTTTGGTTACCATAACCAAATCTAAAATAACCTTATATCCTGTTGGGTCACAGACAACTGAATTGATTTGTCCTCAATGACCAAATAAAATAACTGGGTCCTGCTTAGGCCTATGATTAGGGCTGGTTGTTTCCAAGTGTGTATCAGGCATGTTAGTCTTGCACCACAACACAACTCCTGGTAGTATTTGTTTGCCTACAGTGACAGTTCATTTTGATTTATATCTGAATCTGACCTATGGCATCAATGGCTGATGCCTGCAATTATCTCATGCAGCCAAAATAATTTGAAACCACTGAGAGCACATTGGTTTCTCTATCCCATTATAGAGATGTTAAGTTGAAAATTTAGTATTTTTAAGCAGTACAAGGAGGTAAAATTACTTAGGAAATGAGGAAAAAGTGAGGGTTTCAGGAAAAGAAAAATGGAGATTAAATGAGAAAATTATGAGGGCAGAAGCAGTAAGGAAGCATTTTTGAGAAGACAAGAACCACAAAGGGAAAATCTGTACCCCCAAAAGTAATTTTAAAAAGGCAGTGTCTGAAAATGATCAGTGAACACACAAAAATCGAGAGGCAGAGGCCTCAAACTAGTCTTTTGTTGGCCTAGTGGGGAAACAACATGACGAAGAGCAATGGAGTATTTGAAAAAAGAAGGCTGTGCTGTTTCCAGTTGGGCAGTGAAGCACTTGATGCCACAAGGTAAAATTGGCAGGTTCAGTGAAGTTTCCCTCTCCAGCTGTAGCCTCATGTGAGGAAATCTGAGGCTGCATCTTGGATCATAAAGCTCTAGAAATCCATGTGAGAGGACATGGACGCAGAAACGGAGAGCAGGGTTTGTACTGATCAGATAAGAGCTTATGGGTAATGTCACAGAGGTGGTGGGAGACATATACAAGTATAAACAATGGTGCAAGCTTATTTTCAGACCTGCATGTTCTACAGAGTTACCTACAAGTTTTGAAATGTAGCCACAAATATTTTGTCAGAACAGGGAGGAGATGAGAGAGATAAAAATCTTTGCCATGTTGACATGTATGAGAGACTGAGAAGTTTAAGTGCCTCAAAGATAGGACATAAGCTCTGTTGAGGGTTGAAGCAGGCTAAGGAAAGTTAGGAAGCGTAAAGACCAGCAAAAAGTAGTTGTTTTTTCTGTGTGATGCAATAAGACTTCACAGGTGTAGTCAGAAAGATAAAGTCTGGAAATGGTCCTTGATACCATACAAAAATACAAGCAGTGAGAGAGAAAAAGCAGTGCTTCACTGAAAGATGGGGTTCTGAAAAGAATTTCAATGTGAGGAGGGAGATGTTTTTAAAGGCAGAAAACAAGTCTTGGCTTTGTACACTTTCAGAAGGTAAAACAAGCAGAGCGGTTGATTCCAGCAGTAGTGGAAGGGAAAGCTGATGGAGGTGGAGCAAACATGATCGAGATTAAAGAAATAGTTGTAAAAGGAATGCTTTGTGAGAAATATAGACAGGGAAGTGAAGGAGTGGCAGAGCAAGGTGGAGGGACCTCTCAGATAAAAGGGGTGAGGCTTTCAGAAATGTCTCTCTGTAGTTCAGCAATGTCAGCAGTGGAAAGATTGTCTCAGAGAATGACATAGCAGCCTCATATCTCTGGACTGTCCTTTGAAGACACTGCTTTCTGTGTCACCTGGACAGGAAATTTGGGGTGTTTTGCCCACAACACTGATGTCCAAGTTTGTGCCAGTTGTTCTATGCAATTACTTTGTAACCCACTGTACTCCCTTGTTGGATGTGAGCCGCTCCAAGGGTAAGTGGGAAGCAGGGGGGGGAATCAATCTAGTGCATATCAAAGTAAAGACTAAGCAGCTATTCTGACAATGTAGAAAGAGCAGAAATATATTTGCAGCCTGTGAGGCAGCCCTGTAGGAATGATTTCATTAATTACCAACAAAGTCATTGCAAGAGTGAGGTTAGTGTTTCAAGAGTTCTGGTCCTGGTTTGTCTGTGCAATTCTTACTTGTCCATCAAGCTTCCCCTTACTGCCTATCTAGGTTATTTCATCATGCCATTACTTAATGTTCCCACGCTCTGTTAAACAGCTGCTATCATCTGCTGTTCTAGTGCCCACCTCATGTCTGAGAAGAAGTAATTCTGCTGTATAGAAGTTCTGTAATGTCTGATAGGCTCCTAAGTTGACTTAGTATGTAAAAGCCAAACACTATTATTTTTTTAGCACCTTGTCTGAGTTCTTTTTTCCTTGCCATTGACTCTTAGGCATGTTTGTCATGGGCCATTTTGTCTCTCCCTTCTGTTTCAGAATGACTACCGCAAGCTGTCAATGCAGTGCAAGGACTTTGTGGTTGGTGTTCTGGATCTCTGCCGAGACTCAGAAGAAGTGGAGGCCATCCTGAACGGGGATTTAAACTCAGAGCCAGTTGAAGCACAGAGGCACAGAGCATCACTGAGCCGTGTCAAGCTGGCCATTAAGTATGAAGTCAAAAAGGTAACTCCTCAGTGCTCTCAGACAGTGTAACAGCAGTGCAGTGTCATCTTGTCATTCCAGAGGTGTTAAGAACCCGCGGTCAGATGCACTACTGAGACATTGTGTGTGTAATCAAGTTTCTCACAAGGCAGAAGGGGAATATAATGAAGGAGTTTAGTTTAATCTACTTCCCACAGCTGAGAAGTGGCAGGAGATTTTAATGACATAAATCAGGTGGGCTAGCAAGGCTGTACACAGTTGGTCAGATCCTGCTCCT